CTTGCCATCTCCATCTCGTGCCGACGATCAGCTTCCCTCTGCACTGCCTCCCTCTCAGCCTGGCGTTCCTCTGCCAGCCGCTACTTGGCGTTCCATGAACCGCAGGTATGCCTCCAAATCTGTCTCCATGAGGCGTTTCAAGGCCTCCTGCATCTGAGGAGAGTCTCTGCTGGTTCCAGGCACCACGGTGTTAGCGCACTCAGGCGGTGGTGTGACGTTAACCTTTGGTGATCCTCCAGTGTCAGTCTCTGTATGCCCATCCTGTGAGGCCGTCTCTGAGCCACTGGCAATGTGGGTAATGGGAACCCCTCCATGTTCAAGTTCCCCCGAGTTCTGATTTGCTCGGATATCATACTCTACTAGATCACTAATCAAATCTTCACATGTTTTGCGACCGACGTCCAATCCTCGTGAGGCACATTCAACTTTCAAATCACCTTTGCTCATTTTCTCGTAATCTGCTTCACCAGGCATAATCGCAAGCAAAGATAGAAAAGTAGGAAAAGAAGGAGTTGTTGCTATGTGTCTCTCTATACACACATATATATAAAATAAAATATGCACCGCTTGTTTCTAAGGACTGTTTCCACAAAGGTTACAATCCTTCAGTGCAGAGCCAACTTTTAACACTGCACTGAAGCTCTTAATGCAATTATCCCACGTACGCTGCCACCAATATGTCACGACCCGCGGTCGCCGCCACCAACAGGTGATAATCGCACAGCCGCGACTAACAGTAATACGTCACGCCCATGGCGTCAGACCCCAGACCTTCTCACCAAACTCGTGACCGAAGGGCTGGCCGATCCAAAACCGCGGTGTGACGCGCGTAACAAGGCCCCACCCAGCTGCACCCTACACAGCGATTGCCCAGCTAATGGACTACAATCGGTGCCTGCAGCCTGAATGCGCTTGTTACTGGGTCGGGTTAGTTACGCAACTAACCCTCTACTGCCACCACCACTTTTGTCGGAGACTGGGAAACTCCCGTTATCAAATATACACTATATTGATTGAAATATTGATCTATATAGCACGGCCCGTGGACCTGTTATACAGAAATATGACAACCCGTAGCGTCTCTTCAAAGGCAGGGATTCGTGAATTGCAAGTAAGCGCTTAGAAACAGTTTAACACTTTCAGAAAGAAAGATTTATTACTAAAAGGGTCAAAACAGGTGCAATACAATATTTACAAAGAGATGTCACAAATATATATATATATATGTATATAAAGACACAGCAAAGAGATAATTAGGAAGAAGATTACAGGGTCGAGTTACTTGCCCATATGCCTGGGTTTGCAGTCCAAGTTGTGAGCAGGGTGAGTTCTTTGATCTCCTCTTGTTACGATGTTACCTCGGAGATCTCTGAGTGTGTCAGTGTGACACAGACTAACTCACTTAACTCTCTTAAAGGTCCCTCTCAAAAGGGAGGGGGGGCTCTGACTGGGAGTGGTCATTGGGAAAACTCTACACTAAATTACCAGCTTCATATCCCGTGATATGAACCATACAGTTGATCTGAGGAATGTTCAGTTCTTTTGATAAGGTGTGGGGCTTACATAGCTTTGGGTGACCAAAGTGAAACGTTCGTAGACAGCCTGTCTCCACTTCTCATGTCTTAGGTTGTTCCACCTCATCTGCCAGGAGATAAAGTCTGCCTCACAGGAATGCAAGGGGGGGATGTGAGGAATGATTCGAGGAAGATCTCAAATACAGCAAGGAACAGGGGAACTCCGCTTCCAGCTCTGAGGAGCTAGTTTGCTACACAAACCATCTCTACTATATAGGCTGCACCCCAATGAGAAGTCAGCCCAGTGCTCTAGGTCAGGACTCCATTTTTATTCTTCTCCTGATATCAATGGCCAACCCGGTCCCACACTTCATCCATGTCTTTAGGGGCCTCTGTCCACCTTATGAACGGTTTCTTCCATGATGAAGATCAGCCATGGAGTATATCTGAGGTGTATATCAGGGTGTGCTTCTTCCCCACATGAGAGCTGGGATGTCCAGCAACATTCATCTAGAAGACATTTCCCACACTCAAGGCACTAATACACCTCCAGGGTTGTGTGGGACCCCTGATGTACAGGAAGACAGGACTTCAGTGAGGAACATTTCCCTCAGGACAGGAACGTGGCTTCTCCCCCGTGTGAGATCTCTGATGTCTGGAAAGATCGGACTTCTGTAAAAAACATTTCCCGCACTCAGGACAGGAATATGGCTTTCTCCCCCGTGTGAGATCTCTGATGTCTGAAAGATGGGACTTATCTGAAAAACATTTTCCCACACTCAGGACAGGAATACGGCTTTTTCCTCCATGTGAGATCTCTGATGTGTGTGCAAAGATGGGAATCTGTGAAAAACATTTCCCACACTCAGGACAGGAATACGGCTTTCTCCCCTGTGTGAGATCTCTCTGATGCCTGTAAAAACTGGACATCGATGAAAAACATTTCCCACACTCAGAGCAGGAATACGGCTTCTCCCCCGTGTGAGATCTCTGATGTTTGGAAAGATTGGACTTCTTTGAAAAACATTTCCCGCACTCAGGACAGGAATATGGCTTCTCCCCATGTGTGAGATCTCTGATGTTTGGAAAGAATGGACTTAAATGAAAAACATTTCCACATTCAGGACAGGAATATGGCTTCTCCCCCGTGTGAGATCTCTGATTTTATGCCTATTGGACTGCATTTATAAAAACTCTTCCCGCACTCAGTACAGGAATATGGTTTTTCACCTGAGTGAGATCTTTATGCTCATTCAAGATGGAATTTACAACGGAAACATTTCCCCCGCACTCAGTACAGGAGAAGCTCTTCCCTGTTTGGAAGGCCGGCCCGGTCCCGCACAGTCTGAGGTTCCTCAGGATACGAGGAATCCGATGGTCCATCTACACTGGGTGGTGCCGGATGGACATTGGAGGGAGCCGGGTTTTCTCCTGGACTATACTGTGTGATGTCCTCATCTTCTACTTTCCAGTCTGGAGACAAAGTGAGACAATCCTCGGAGGTTTTCCTCATCTCCCGGCCATGGACTAAAATACAAAGACAAAGAGGATTACTAGACAGGGAGCTGATTGGTTCCCCCAAACCAGGACTCCGCCCACATCAGGCAGCTTGGTCTCTGAGGAGCTTACAATTCCACCCTCAAGGGAACTAGGAAATGGCTCCTCTGATCTCCTACCAGGTCATTTCTTTATTCATGGACCTTAGTCAGAGAGTGAGGAAACAACCAGAACTGTCTTTTATAGGAGGGACAGTGATGAGGGGATTATAGGACGAGGGTCCCCACCCCCTCTATCACTCATCGCCATCTTCCCAACACAAGAAGTACTGCACTTCCTTATTTAGTCCATGATTTAGTCATGAAGAACAGCGGGGCTGAGCCCCACCAGAGGTCAGAGAGTGAGGATGGGGGGGGAGAACAACCAAGATGAAGACTGGACTGATCCTGAAGACCACCATCATTGGGGTATTGACTCCTCCCTCATTATCACTTTCTGTTTAAGGGTCCAAAGTTGGAGGATGTTATCACATTATTATCACCATGTAAAAGTCTGTGCTCCAATCACATCATCCGATATAAAATGTCCAGCTGGGAGGAAATGGGTGTAACAAAAGAGAATCCATATTATGTGTGTATATAGCAGTGGGGGGAGGGGGGGAGAGCAGAAGTCAGGACTATTGAAATGTACACCATAGAGTATATAGTGCAGGGGTCAGGAGTATGTAATGTACAACATGGAGTATATAGTGCAGGGGTCAGGAGTATGTAATGTACAACATAGAGTATATATAGTGCAGGGGTCAGGAGTATGTAATGTACAACATAGAGTATATAGTGCAGGGGTCAGGAGTATGTAATGTACAACATAGAGTATATATAGTGCAGGGGTCAGGAGTATGTAATGTACAACATAGAGTATATAGTGCAGGGGTCAGGAGTATGTAATGTACAACATAGAGTATATAGTGCAGGGGTCAGGAGTATGTAATGTACAACATAGAGTATATAGTGCAGGGGTCAGGAGTATGTAATGTACAACATAGAGTATATAGTGCAGGGGTCAGGAGTATGTAATGTACAACATAGAGTATATAGTGCAGGGGTCAGGAGATGTAATGTACAAATGTATACAGTGCATAGATGTAATATAGTGTATATAGTGCAGGGGTCAGGAGTATGTAATGTACAACAACAGAGTATATAGTGCAGGGGTCAGGGAGTATGTAATGCATAGAGTATATAGTGCAGGGGGTCAGGAGTATGTAATGTACAACATAGAGTATATAGTGCAGGGGTCAGGAGTATGTAATGTACAACATAGAGTATATAGTGCAGGGGTCAGGAGTATGTAATGTACAACATGGAGTATATAGTGCAGGGGTCAGGAGTGTATGCACAACATAGAGTATATAGTGCAGGGGTCAGGGATGTATGTAATGTACAACATAGAGTATATAGTGCAGGGGTCAGGAGTATGTAATGTACAACATAGAGTATATAGTGCAGGGGTCAGGAGTATGTAATGTACAACATAGAGTATATAGTGCAGGGGTCAGGAGTATGGAATGGACAATATAAATTATACAGTGTCCCAAAGGTCAGGCCTCATAATATTGGTCATTCAGTAATCAATTGTAATCTAAATGTTTACTGTAGACAAGTTGCAGAGTCCCACACCGCTGCCTCCCATCTCCTGAGACTGCACTCAGTGACTTGGGTCTGAGACACTCAGACATATCCCTCCACCCGGCACAGCCAGCAGATAACAGAGCAAGGAACCCTGGGAGAAATGTTCTATCAGAGATCTTACTAGACCAGGGCATGGGGAAGGAGACCCAAATCACATGCTCCAGGTGCTTAGGTAGTAATCAATGCCTATAGTGAAAATGAACATTTTGCTTGCCAGCTGAACCCCAGAACCTCCATAAATCCAGTCTAGATACATAAATTGTGTCTGCAGCACAGAGAAGGAAGATTATCCGAGAGAAATCCAGGAATACAGGACGGGGAACACAGCTCAGGAAAGTGACCAGGGGATTACAGGCTGATATCACCCAGTCCCCGCCCTACTCTGGACCAATCAGTGAGCAGTATGGGTGGAGGAATGGATTTAGTGTTCATGACCCACCTGTGCTGATCTCTGTAGGAGTGTCCTCCTCTATAAATGTCCCCGTTATTCCATCCTCCTCCATAGACTGCTGATCATCCCTCACATACGCCTCTTCTTTCTGCTTCTGCTTTCACCTCAAATTCTATATCGATTGGATCTCCACTCTAAATCAAGGAAATGAGAGAAAATATCATCTGTAAAATGTAAGGTCACAAAAAATATCCACACACACATCCCCCCTACAAGTCCATGTTCTAGATGCTCCATCCCACCAACCTTGTAATAGTGAGGGATGGTGTGACCTTCCTGTGTGGAATCCCGGGAATACAGAGGACGGGGACATCTCTCTGGTGGGTTCCTGGTATTAGGTGGCTCCATCATATCCTTGTGTCCTTCTGAAAACTCCTCCATCACTCCATACTCCTCATCCTCCTCTTTATACTCTTCTTTAACATCAATATTATCATCCCCGAGGATTCCACACTCTGAAAGATATAATAAAACATTCATTGTAACAAACATGCTGTGTATAAATCACAACTACCAATAATTGTCATCATCTACCTGATGATGGTGGTGAGGGATGGTGTGACCTTCCTGTGTGGAATCCCGGGAATACAGAGGACGGGGACATCTCTCTGGTGGGTTCCCATGACTGGATCCATCTGTAGGAAAACACACACACTGACTGAATCCATTGTTTCTATGTGTGTTTATCAGATGATGGGGGATCTAGGTGGATCCTCCGTACTGCTCTCTCCTTTACAATAAAGTCTCCTCTTACCCGGTGATGTGAGGGGCGGCTGATTGTCCATCATGACGTCCTTGTAGAGATCCTTGTGTCCTTCTAAATACTCCCACTCCTCCATGGAGAAATAGACAGTGACACCCTGACACCTTATAGGAACCTGACACACACAATGATACAGTCACCATCCAGACACATCCCTTGTCTGTTACTGGAGAATGTCCCAGAATTCCCGGCACCGCTCACCTCTCCTGTCAGCAGCTCAGTGATCTCTCTGGTGACTTCTAGAATCTTCTTCTTCTTTTCTCTCTTCTATCAGGGAGGGAGGTGGAGGCAATGTGATGTCATATGATCTCCAGACTTCACAGGAGGAAAACTCTACATCTGAACACAAATAGTCACATCAAATGATATTCCCAGAATCCTCCTCACCTCTCCATTCAGGTCTCCATTTTATTAAAGCCCCACTTCAGGCTGAGGTATAATTCCCCCCCCACAGGACCCCCACACTACGCAGGGTATAGGCTTGTTGCAGCATTCTGATGTCATTACATACAACGCAGGACCAACAGTCCCACTTTACATGTGAGGATACCAAGGGACCCCCCACATCCAAGAGCATAAAAAAAAGGAGCCAAATGGAGGGACATTGGGAGGAGGAGCTGTGAGGTCAGTGTGATGTCATAGGATTCTCTGACTCTGGATGGAGGGACATCAGGGGGGGAGGAGCTGTGAGGTCAGTGTGATGTCATAGGATTCTCTGACTCTGGATGGAGGGACATTGGGAGGAGGAGCTGTGAGGTCAGTGTGATGTCATAGGATTCTCTGACTCTGATGGATGGAGGGACATTGGGGGGAGGAGCTGTGAGGTCAGTGTGATGTCATAGGATTCTCTGACTCTGGATGGAGGGACATTGGGAGGAGGAGCTGTGAGGTCAGTGTGATGTCATAGGATTCTCTGACTCTGGATGGAGGGAACTTTGGAGGAGGGGCAGTGAGGTCAGTGTGATGTCATAGGACATTAGACTCTGGATGGAGGGACATTTGGATGGGGAGATTTGATATCTGGATGGAAGCCAGGGGTCCTCTATATGAGGCTCCCATGAAAACCAAATCCTTGTTCCTGGGTGTGTCCTACCTCTCCTAAACTGAAGAGTGACCTTTGACCTTTACCATCCCAGAAATCTGTCCGGAATCTGTGGAAGTAAGCTGTCATGTGATCAGGTGACGTGCGGAGGAACGGAGTGTAAATAGCAGACAATTGTCTCCAGAGCCCCTAATGGTGGGGATGGATTTGTCGGCGTGCTGGTGCCAAGTTTCCTCCCCCCAGGGTCACTGCAGGTGTGGAGAAAAGCTGTGTAAGAGGATATGGAGGAGAGAGAGAGAGGAGGAGATCCAGGAATCAGGAGAAAGGTCAGGGCAGCAACAGACGAGCGCATCCAAGAGACCAAGCCGGGGTCACTACACAGAAAATCAATCCAAGGAAACAACAGGCAGGACGAGGAATAGCAAGAAGGAGCTGAGAGACAAATGAGAATATTG